AAATATCCCTAATATTTGGTTAAATTATATGTTATATCTTATATAATTTAGAATTTATAAATATATCTTATATAATTTAGAATTTATAAATTAGTCTCTAAAATTACACCTAAATTTATAATGGTCCAAAATTTAATGGATATTTAGCTGGGCATGCGGATGCGGGGCGGGTAATGACTCAAACCCATTACCCGCCCACTACCCGCGACAGGTATCAATTTCTAAATCCACACCGCCCACTACCTACTAAAATTATACCCATCCCCGCCCCAATTGGAGCGGGTGCGGTGCGGAATCCACGAAATTGTACCCGTTTGCCATCCCTACTTAGAAGGGCTATTCGGTGGAGAGGAAGAAGAGAGGCTTTGAGAGAAAAGAAAAGAAATGAAAATGGAGGTTAGGTTTAGTTTTTACATAAAATGGCTAAAAAGATGAATATATATTAAAGAAAATAGGAAAATCATGCTCACACCTATCTGTTTTTTGCGCGTTTTTGCATTATGGTCATCGAATCTATGCATTTTTTATTTATTCTAATTTTAGCATGTAATTTTAATTATTTTTCAATTTGGCCACTGATTTGTCATATTCATGTTTTATTTGTTTTAATTTTAGCACTCTATTTTCATTTTTTAAATTTTAGTCACTGACTTCCCTTTAAATTATTCCTAACATTCAAATTAATTATATTACTTTGCGGTGACCTGTCCCGGGGTATGATCTGCATTATTTACGTTCCGTGTAAAATTCTAACACTAACCCGCTAACTCTTTTATTTTTATTGTTCGAGCTAACTCTTTTAGTTTTTATTGTTCGCACTAACCCGTTAACTTCTTTTGTTATTTGAATTTAATTCACGACTTTGTGGTGACTCACCCAGGGTATGATCCATATTATTTATGGTACTGGTAAAACATTAAAAATAACCTCATAACTTTAATTTTCATGCAATCTAATATATATGCTATTATCATTCCAGCTCTTTAATTTCCAGCATTTTATTTTTCTGCCTCTTTAATTTCAAACCTTTAATTTTGGTCCTTTAAATTTCCAACACTTAATTTTCTGTATTTCCATTTATGCATCCTAATTTGCATTTCATTCGATTCTAGTCATCAATATTACTTGTGGTTTATTTATTACTGGTGCCTATGTTTTAATTGTTTATATTTCAGCCTTATTTATTATTTATTATATTTACGTTGTGTTTTAATCTTGGCTGTTAATTTACAAAGTATTCATGTAAGTCCCTTATTTATGTTATTAGAGAGCAAATATTTGGTTTGTATTTTAGACTCAAAATTGAACTTGTTTGGCTTTATTATTGCTGCCCCTAGTAAGAAATAAGAATATTTATGGGTTTATAGTGTGTTTAGTCCTAAATATTTCTGTTTATGTTCGATTTGATCTTTAGTTAATGCCTATTGATTTTGTTATTTAATCATTGCTATTTTTTATTTGTTCAATATGGTCACTACTCTTTTATATGCACATATCTTTATGTTACTTATATTATTATTTGAACTTTATTTTATTATAAATCACAATATTTTTTCACATATATGAAAGATAAATTTCATTGTGAGGGAAATCTATTAAGACATCTCCCAACTATAAGGGAAATGTGTCTCCGAGGATTTTTCACACAAAAGTCCTTTTTTATATCCTATTTTTTTATTTTATAATTTTTATTTTTATTTTATTTTTAATATCAAAAAAAAGTTAGGCAATGTCTTTCGTGAGGGGAATCCGTGGAAAAGTCTCATAACTATAAAGGAAGTATATTTTCGATGATTGTTCGTACAAAAAACATTCTTTTTATCCGAGCATTTCTTGAAAATTAATATAATATTATACTCTTTTTAAAAAATATATCAATGAAATTAAAGAAACATTATTTTGTGAGGGGAATGCTTGAAAAAGTATCCCAACTAAAAGGGAAGTGTATTTTCAAAGATTGTTCGTACAAAATGATGTAGTTTCTCTTTTAATAATAATAATAATCTTTTTGAGTATATATATATATATATATTAGAAATTAATTATTCTACAAAAGCATATTCGTTCTCTTTAATTGTTGCATCCATTGCATTTATTACTTGTCATTGTGTTTTTAGTTTTAATAATTTTGAAGGCAATGTTGTTTTGATTTGGGGAGAATTAACAAGTTAGCATCCTAACTCTAAAAGATGACGATCTTCGTTGATTTTCTTGAATCGAAAGGACATCCTTTTGAACAAGTTTGAGTGAATCAATTCTTCTTTCTCAATCAAAAACCATTTTAATGAAATTCACTCATTTCAAACTAAATTCGAATGAACAAAAGGATCATAACTTAAATATGTCAGAGTTTGCAATTCCAGTATTTAGACAACATATAATCATTTGGGTATCAAGTTTGGACTTTGTGGGGTGTTTATACTTCTCCATGCGTAATTTATTCCCGAACTCTTAAAAATGAAACTTTGGTGAAACATAGACCATATTTCTTACCTTTTAAATGTTTTTTTTAAAGTTCATTAAAAATGATAGTTTTGGGTGTTCGAGTTACCTATCTCAAAGGTTGATGACGACTCCAAATCAAGTTTGTCCAAAATCTAAATTTCACCACCTTTTCTTAAATTCAAAAATTTTAGTCTACTCGGTTCTCGCTTGTCGCCGGACTGTTAGGTGGTGTTTGTTTTTGCAGAGGTAAAAGGTCTGCAGTCTGCGGACAACATCTGCAGGCATCTGCAGCAGAAGAGGTGTACCAAAAGTCTGCAGTCTGCAAGAAGAAGACTGTTTGTTTTTTAACGTCTGTAGACTGCTAAAAAAAACTGAAATATAAAATAAACTGATTTTTTAAACTATACTCAAATAACCATTTTTTCTATTAATTTTTTAAAAATTATAAAATGTCATTAAATGTAATGAATTATTACAAAATAGTCACTATAATGTTGTAATAAATTATAAAAGTTTGATAATATATATATAATTATTTTATAGTATTTAGATAAATTTATTAATAATTTTATAATCTTTTAATAAATTTAATAAGTATTTTATAATTTTTTAAACTTTATTGACGAAAATGATCATTTGTATATAACTCAACGATATCTAATATACTTTATTTGAAAAAATATATTAAATAAATATTATACGAATTTTATTATTATAAATTATTATATCTACGGACTATTAGATGAGTGAGATTAACAGTAGGAAATGAGAAGATATTCACTGAAAAAAATAATGAGTCAACCTCAGTTATCTATTTTCACTCGTCTAACTGTCATAAATATGTGTAAAACTAAAAAATTTTATATTGTAAACATTTATATTTGTAGGCTATATATATTATTAATAACAAAAAAGATTATAAATAAAAATTATCTTGTAATCCTCATGAGCTATTAAAATAAAAAGGTTACACTAAAAAATCTATAAACAATATTTTCCATCAAAGATGATAAGACGTGAGAGATTAATGTGATTACATAGTTGATGTCAAAATATATGCATTTATCTCCATTATTTTTTTAGATTTAATTTTTTATAAAATTTATTTAAAATCGATGAAAATTTATCTAAACTTCAACGTTTTAAATTATGACATCGTCTGATGACTTTTTAATGAAAATTAATTTTAAGATATATTATTCGTCTTCTTAAAAGAATGCTTCTCATCATAAACTTTTTTAGATGAACACCTTAAATCTCTTAAACCCATCAAAACCACAAACCTTAAAAATAAAAATTAAACTGATAAAATAATAAAAAACGATAAGACGAATTCATTTGTATTTAAAATAACCGTACAATATGTTAAAGAAAAACGATTGTTCAACAATGACTAAAAATAAATGAAAAAATAAATAAATTTCATCACGTAGATGAGATAAAAAGACAATTTCATATAAGATAAAAATTTAAAAAAATAATTTTCACGTTAATATTAAATACTGCATTATTTAATTACGATTCAAACGTTTTTTATAAATAATTTAGGGTGATTACGTGCTAGTATCTATTTAGAATTTTCTTAATCAATTGGTAACGTATACATATCCTAGGACGGATGCAAATTTTATGTTAAGGATGGTAAACTTATAAAAATTAAAGGGAAAACAAACTTATAAAATTTTAGGAGGAGAAAATAGAATTTTATTAGAAAATGTCTAAAATATATAAAATTTAAAATTTTTAAGGAGACGATCGCCTCTGCGTAAGTCTATCCCTATAAATATAACTGCTTAAACTCAAAACCTCAAATAAAATAACTTTTTTTTCAACTATGAGATCACCTAATAAATTTATATATAAACGTTAAATTTTGTAGCTAATGATGTAATTTATAATTATAAAGTACGAGCGGTGGCAGAATGGGAAGGGCTCATTTTTATTTTCTTTAAATAAATTAGCCCTTCATTATTCGAGTCTTCTTTATTTAATCATATACTCCGTATTATATTTTTGGGTAACCTATATATTTAGCATCTTAATTATCACTTTTGTTTTGTTTTAGTCACTTAATTATTAATTTTTTTTTAAAATTATATATAATTTTATGTTTTGGTTTTATTTTGGTTATCCACTGGTAAAAATTAACATAACTAGTAATGTGACATTTAAAAAAAATAAATGATGATGTAGCATTACCTTATGATGACACATCAACATCTTCGTTAATTTTTTAACAGTAGGTGACAAAAAATATAGCGCTAGATATAATTTTGGAACAAAAGTAATAGTTAAGATACTAAATGTGTAGTTTACCTTTTTTTTATAATGGACCTTGTCTTATATTTTTTAATAGTTTAAAGTGATTAGTTTAAGGTGATTACAAAGTAATATATGTTCAAAAATTATTGATAACACACACTCTACAAATGCAATTGTTTAAACAACTTTTAAGAAGATTAATATTCTCTTTTATTATGAAGACTACGAGTTTTTTGTTGAAACAAAAAATGAAGACTACTACATATCTTTCTATTTTCTATATAAAGATCAAATTCTGAGAGCTTCATGTTGCACAAGCTGGCACCAAGCAAGAAAAGAATCCCCACATCTTCTCCTGCATCCCATTACAAAGAGAAAAACCTAAACCTTTGAGTTTCCACTTCAACGTCTTTAAAAGAACATGTAAGAAATAATACAACTGTAAACATAACTGTTAAACGTTATAATTTTTACCGGCAAAATTGCTCATATAAGTTGTCGTTGAAATTATTTTTTTAACATAGTGTGATTGTTGCAACGCTCATTGAAAGACGCCGAGAATACAAAACGTCTTCCGGAAGACATGACGACTACAGTGCGACTTCTGCTTTGTTCCTTTAATAATCTTGGCAATTTTAGCATTTTAATAACGTGAAAAATGAGGAAGACACATTGTATTCCTAACGTCTTTTCTGTGACTGTAATGATTATACCATCTCAAAAAGTAATTCGACGAGACCTAATATGAGTCAATTATTTTCTCCAACACCCCCACACGAGCAATTTAGTCAATTTTTACTAATAATGACATGTTATTATCTTATGGTGGTATGATAGTATTACTGTTAATTTTTTAATGACAAGTGATTAAAACATAATCAAAATATAATATTTAAAAAAACGAAATCATTACGCAACTAAAACAGAACCACCACAACAGAAGAATGAATAAATAGACAGGTTACCCTTTGAAAAATCAGGGACTTACTAGCTTGGAAGAGCGAAGGAGCTCAGGTGGGATTTTGTAGAGATCTTCATCAACAGGCACTCTCTTGGGATTGGGAGCAACGTCGTCGTATTTAAGCTGCTTACAATATCTTGTCGTACTGTGATATTTCCTTGGCGGTTCGGTCACGTCACAGACTCTCCCTCCCTTCTTTTTCTCTTTTTCCGTCGCCTATTATCCGTGACGAACGCATAAATTTTATATTACGATAAACGAATTTATAAAAGTTTAGGTAAAAGAGAACTTATTAAATTTTAAGTGATAAAAATATATTTTTAATAAAAATATTTAAATATATAAAAAATTTAAATTTTAAAGGGGTGACCGGAAAAATTCCCACAAAGGTCTTGAGGACAGATTAGTGCTTTACAAAGATGTTTTATGTAAGAATTTTTCTATATGAACAACAGTAGTACAAAAATAAGAAATCCCATAATTTCTTTCATAAAAAGGGTTGAAGAAGAGCAAACTGACCTTTGTAGAAGGAGGAAGATCACAAGAACGTTTCCTTGAATCAACTTGATACAAGTCGTGGGGAGGACATAAGGATTGGATTCACCAGACGAAGAGCTGAACCGAATCAACCAGCTTGTCTAGCACATTCGAAGTATGAGTAATAGGCAACTCATTCGCATAGTCCCACTCTCCAAATGCTGGAATCTGCCCACTTCTCTTACAATAATCCTGATAAAAAAAGAACAAAACTCATCAGAGAATTAGCTTTAAACAACAGGTCCATTCAAGATTCGAAGATTTTTTTTTCAACTTACATCCATAGTGGGGTTGTTGGGGTCGACAGTTACTGGTTAGAGGAAAAATATTGGACTTGGAAAGGGGTGTGTTTTAAAAGGGAATGAGAGAAAAGAAGAGATATGGGGATTGTGAAGAAAGCTACAGAAGATAGAAGGTATGGTTTCAGAAATTACTTTGAAGAGGAGAATCTGCAGAAAAAACCAACAACAGAGTTTTCTGAGCCTTTGATTCACTTTTGTGTCCTAAAAACTAAAAGGAATGTAAAAAAATAGGGAAGGAAGTCTACTTGTTTGTCAACTTTTCCTCGTTCTAATAAATGTAAATGTTTATTCCTTGTTTAATTCGTTTCACGCGTCGAGTCAGAAAAATGGGACTTGAAAGAATGCAGGTTGAGTATTGAATGCACACGTGATATGAATTTGACAGATTTTAATTCGATTCGATTTAATCTTATGTTCTAAAAAAATTTGGCATTATTAGGTTTGGTCAGATTTTTTAGAGGTTATGTTCTGATCCAGTTTAGATTTAAGATGAAAAATATCCAACCCAACTTGACCTAAAAAATATGTAATTTTATCTTATATATTTAGAGATACTTTTAATAACACCTCTTTATATATTATTTTTTCAATTAAATATCTATTTTCATTGAATAAAAGTAATATTTTTTTATAAATATATTATTTCAAATGTGGTCGGATTTGAATTTTATATCAAAAGGATGGGCGGGTACATGTCGAGTGAAAGATATATATTTTTCGGGTTGAATTTGAATTAGCTAGAGAATATAATTTTTAGATTAAGTCGATTGGACCGAAAACCCGGCCATGACCCTCCCTAAGGTTGAGTGTATTAACAGTTCACTTAGACTTGGGTGAGGGTTAAATTCTTATTCAACTTTATATTATTTGATTAATTTTAATATTATATTTTAAATTTATTCAACCATTTCAGTGATAAAAGATAATGCTATTCTCCTTATATACATTGGGTTTCAGCAACTGTGTTTGTAACATGTGTGCGTTCATTGTCAATAAACTAAAAAAATTCTAAACATATACACCTTATAATCATCTCAAACTAATAAAAAGTAATTTAAAAAATAAAAATTTAATTTTCATCAACAAATATTAAAGAGATAAAAGTAAGATTTGATTCAATTAATTTAATATACCTATTTAAATTATAATTAGGATTTTTAAAATTGAAAAATATAAGAATAATAATTAAAATTAAATTAATTAAATCTATAATTTATTATAGAGACTGAAAAGCCAATTGTTGGGGGTTCTCAAAGATCTGAGAAGGGTTTGGATTTTGCATAATAATGGCAACACCTCTCATTCAAATTGCATAGTAATTGATGCAACTAATAACGTGAATACAAGTACCTATCTCAAATTATTTATTAAATATCTTAAAACATTAAATATAAATATGTCATGTTTTATTGTTTTAAACATGCCTAATCATTTAATAATTTATTAAATTTAATGGGTTTGTGTCAAAAATTAAGTACGTTGTTCTCATGACAAAGATTGATATCCACCTCATTGAGAGCTTCTTTAATTTTGTTTTTAGTAGGGTTTTGGGTAATATTTCATTTTCACATATTATGAATTTAAATAATTTATGGGTTAAAATTAGATTTATTATTCCCCTGAAATTCAAAATGAACTTAATAAACTCTAAAATATTATTATTCAAGCCTATTTTGTATTCAAATAACGTTGTACATCCAAATTTATTATCTAAATAATATTCTTATTATTATTTTAAAAATAAATGAATATTTCTTGGAACGGAATAGTAAAAATGCATGGCACGTGAGAAGGGTAAAATAACCACGATGATTATAGACGGTTCAATCATTGTGATTTAGACAAAAAATTATAATAAGTAATTATATGATAATTAATCGATAATGTTCTTGATAAATATATAAAAGAAAATCTTAAAAGAGAGAATCCAAATGAAGAAAAAGAATAAGAAAAATAAGAAGATGAAATTTCATTTATATATATTATAGAAGTTTATATATTAATTTTTAATATTGATGTTAGGTGTAGAACCATTATGACTACTTAAAGGTTGATAAATAAAATAGATCTGTCTATTAGATAGTAAATGACTGATCACATTGACTTATTATAGGTTATATCATCAAGTCATAATGACTACTCGTAGGTTGAATCTTTTCACCAACAATTAATTGGTCGAGGTGGAAATGATCTCATCAGATAAATTATAAGGTAAACTATGTATTTAGTACCTAAATTTTTATTTTCTTTAAAATTATACATATTGTTTAGTTTTTGTTTCATTTTAGTACATTGCCGTTAAAAACTTAATGGATAAACTCGTCGGGCATCGTATCTACAATCGCCGTCCGCGGTGTTTGTCGGTTGATAAAGCCCAAACTTTTTAGTTCGCATCTTTTCAACCTCTTGAATTCGATTCCAGTCTCTATTTCACCGAAAAACGCATCAATCTCTCCAAATCGACGATAAACTCTTCGATTTTTTCATCCTCCAATCTCCATGTACCACCATCCAATGGTCTTTGAAACTAGACTATGTTGATCAACTAATCATTTTCTCGTGATCCACCATTTTGATTGCTCGTCCGTCCACCGAAGTTATGTCACGTCAGCCGGGGTGTAAAAATAAAATAAAAACTAAACGTTAGATATGATTTTGAAAAAAAAAATGAAAGTTTAGATACTAAAATTGATCAAAACTGATAGTTTAGATACTAAATGCGTAGTTTATCCGATTTTGAAAAATAGACTTGATTTTGGCCATGGAGAAATGGGAAAAAGGCAAAATCCGTTTATTGGCTCAAGCTGCCGCAGTAGTGCCTTAACCTCGTGGAGTGATACAAGGTCGCCATTTCCCAAGTGCTCAAAAAACAAAGACACCGACCTAGGGGGTTGAACAAGGACCAAATGCCCACCTGCAACAAAGGGTCAAAAATGCCACCAACGGTCCTATTCTGCCTTGACTTTGGGTGTGAAAATCACCAATAACAACAACAAAGAACAGATGGACAAGGAGGTTTAGTAAGTCAAAACAGAGTGGAAAATCTAAACAAATATGGGCAAAGATCAGATCTGTAATGTTAGCTGAATTGACCAGCCCTAGTTGTTTGGCTTGAAAGAAAACGACACCGACTATGAAAAATGAGAACATGCTGGAAAATATAAATTTGTTCACGTGATCATCAAAGGTGCGACGGATAAAATAATGGAGGACCGAATTAACTTCAAATTCATCATACAAAAGGGTTAAATGACATTTAAAATAATTATGATCGAATTTTTAAAATGTTGACTATTAAAAATTAATAAATAATAATTTTTTATTAAATTTAGATGATTATAAGATAATATATGCTTTAAAGATTCTAAATTATTTGATAAAAAAAGTTCAAAAATTTATATAAACATTGGTGCTCAAACTCAATACCTCTTTAACCACTAAAATAACTTGATTCATACTTTTAATTTTTTTAAAAAAAATAATATATATATTAATGGTAAATTGTATGGACGTCAGGTTGAGCCGTCATTACCTGCTGATTTATGTTTCCTTTTATGTTATACAGATTGATCAAGGGAAAGTTTAAAAAACTACAACTTAATGTTAAAAACGGTAAAAATAGGTGAAACCGATAATGTAATAAAAAAACATAATATTTTAGATTTGATGTAATCTAAAATGTTACATTATTATTATCATTTTCTATTGACAACCGAAAATGTTATAATCTTCATAATAACTTTAGAAACAAAGGTATAACTTAAAATGTAAGCTTTTGAGGGCTTACAAGCTTTGACCCTCTTACATATTAGACCCTTTTAGCTTTTAAATAAAAAATTAAATGATTTTCCTAAATTTATTTTTAAATTTCAATATTTCAAATCTTTAATAAATCTACAAAGAAAAATTCTACAACGTTGGTCGAAAGTGGTTGAACATGGTTAATGATGAATACCAATAAATTAATTTATAAAACGTTAAATTGTAAAGTACTAAACATATAATTATAAATTAGTTAAAAATCTAAATGTAATTTAATTAAAATATAATATTTATAAAACATTAGTTTTCATAATTTTATTTTAATTATAATTAGATCAAATATTAATTTGGGAAATTTATAAACCCTAATTTATTTTTATAGCTTTGAAGTCACCGCTGCCGTCACCACAGGTATCATCTTTTGTCATCGATTTAGTCTTTTTTGTTCGCTGGTGGTGAAAGATGATACCGGTGGCGACTGTAGTGGTTTCAAAGCTATGAAAATAAATTAGGGTTTATAGATTTCCCAAATTAATATGTGATCTAATTATGATTAAAATAATATTATAAAAACTAATGTTTTATAAATATTTATATTTTAATTAAGTTACATTGAAAATGTTAACTAGTTTATAATTATACGTTTAGTACTTTATAATTTAACGTTTTATAAATTAATTATTGAGAGCGCAAGGCTCTTAACCTTGTGGTCGTGAGATCGAGTCCCACGGTGGACAATTCATAATTCTGACTGCCAGAGTTCTTCTACGAAAGCTGCTCTCAACCCGTTGGGGGCAGCCTACTACCTTATATTCCCCTCACCCGTTGGGGTCAACTAATTTTATAAATTAATTATTGATATTCATCATTAATCATACTCATTCATGCTCGACAAGCGTAAAAGTATCATCCCTCCACAAAATATATAAAGACCTCTATAAATCTCAAATTCACTTAATTAAAACATTTCAGGAATTTCCTTCTAAGATAATTGACCACTGTTGTCGGGTTGGGTACTATAAAGTACCAAACCTGGGATTGATTTTGGGTCAAAAACAACAACATGAAAACTGGCACCGTACTAGCTGGAATGTGGAATGGGTAGCGTGTAGGATTTTATTTTTAATTAAGTAGAGTTATATTATTAAAAAAATTAACTGACCCTTATTCCCATATGTAATAGGATAAGGGGAGGTAGAATTATATTATAGTTTCGAGTTAAATATCGGGGTTTAAATCCACATAAAACAAAATAAGATAAATTAAACAAATGATACCCCGACTATAACATATTATTTTGTTAAGTCATCTAATGATTAAAAATTATAAAATGATCCACTGATTATAAGATGTTATTTTGTTAATTCTATCGATTATTAAAAGTTACAAAATGGTCACCCGATATTTATTTCAAAACGCATGATTTTTCATTAAAAAAT